TTCTTCGCTCTGTTACAGCTTAGTTATGGACAAGTTATTGGTTCTTCACCGGCACCTGGTCCGGCAAGCGACGGTGCTGCCATCGATCAAGGAATCGCCTACCTTCTCCTCCTACTGGCCCTCGCCATCACGTATATCTTCCATTGATTTTATTTTTCATGTACTGATAGTGATTTATTTAATTATTTTCTCTTTTTGAATGTAGTTTTCCTCCACGCATTTGGTTTGGAGAAATTGCACTTTTGATGATGTTATTTAATCTATGGCTATGTATATAAATTTTAACTAGCATTTGAATAACATTAAATAAAATATTTAATAACATTGCTATGGAAGTTCTTCTTTAATTTTTAAATAGGTATAAATTTAGAGGATGAGAGATTTTAATCCAATATTTAAAATTAAAAATATATTTTTTTAAAAGTTTATAACTAATTGGTTTTTCTAGGCCACATGTATAGAAGTTCTCTCTCTTATTAATTGTAATTTTTGAGATGAGAATTCGGTGGGAGAATTATGAGGATGTGAAGTGAAACGGTATTTTTTATTATGTAGCTGACATTTTGGTTCAACAACACATTGTGCTTTGAAGAAAACACATATTGTGCAATTTGTGCTTTAATGTATCAGGCAAATGACATATTGTGTGTGTTTGGTGTGAGAGGAGGAGAGCGGGGTGGGGGCAAATCCTTTAGAGAGAGGGGTGGGGAGGAGAGGTGAGAGAAGTTTCTCAATTTATTTTTTAATTTTACTTTATTTAATTTTTTTAACTTATTCAAATAATGATAGAATTTTGCACTATTTTTTCTATTTTTTTTATAGCAAACATACTTTTAAAATTATTTTTAGATTAACTTTGGAACATTGCTAGTTAATGTTGATACACTCTAATTATTTGACCTTACTACTTTTGTGGTCTCAAAATAATGGTCATCATTTTTTTTATTATTAAAAAGAAGGCCAAATATTCTCTTCTTCTTTTTTTTTTTTTTTTATCTTGGTTGTATAAAAAGAAGTAATCATTTCTCATTTCTTGTCCTACCTTATCCGCGTGCCATATAATTCAAATTCAATATTTCTTATTTTAAATGAGAAAAAATGGTACTAAGTTATTTAGGTTGTTAGGCCAAATATTCTTAAAATACTTTTGATCATGTTATTTGGGCCTGGGCGCCAGGTTCTCCTATTACCCACTTACACAGTTAAGTGGACTGGGTTTAGGGACCAGGCAAATAGTGAGGTACTCTAAAGGACCACCCCTTTCATAAAAGATCAGGCATGGTGATTTTATATTTTCCCACATCCCCACGTAACATAGAGGGCTTGGGATGATAGCTAGGCTTCTTAGTTCTTATTGAGTGAAATGTGTATTGATATTTTCAAAAGTGAGTTTTGTTTCATTGTACATTTTTCCTCTATGGCGAATTTATCCATGCACCTTTCCTGAGGACGTAGATCATGAATCACAATTTGGGTAATGTAAGTGGTATCAGGGGAAAGAATGTATATGAGTTTGGCTACCTCTTGTACCCATAATAATAAAATTTTTGGTTTATCCAAAAAAAAAAAAAAATCATGAATCACAATACTTGAATAACGTAATTCTTTGTGTTTAATTTGCTTTTCTTTAGTTATTCATATTTGGGCAAGTAATGGGTTCTTATGTTTGTTAATTGACATGTTAACGACTTAAATAATTCAGTAATTATCTCTTTTCGTTAAAAGTAAAAGATCTTTATTTTAAATCGCATATTATGCGAATAAAGTGAGATAAGAAATGTGAAATGGTTGCTTCTCATTATGTAAAAAAACAAAAAAATTGTTAATTGACATTGTCAGTTGTCACAAAAGCCGTGGCAATGGGCAAAAATCCTTTCCTTCTATTCTCTCTCATCCGATTCATTTGGGTAGCCGAAAGACAATGGAAACTGCTTTGTATGGAAGCTTACTTCACTCCTCGCCATCCCCACTAGCACATGGGCATTGAGTGCAGATTAGAATGTTTTTGTTGACAGCTTTTTTGCCTACCCAAACGCCTAACATGCCTCCATTACATGTTTAGGATTATTAGAACATCAAATTTGATCCATAGGATGCGGAACCACAATAGTTGGCAATGGTACTTGATGGGACCACCCCTCTCAACTGAAACTCACATATCATAATGGATTGTGGTTATGACTATACATACTTGTGTTAAGGCCACACAATTTTAATTGATATTTTATTAATTTTATTTTTAAAATAGTTGATAATTGATAAAATAATTGATGTTTATTATTCAGTAAATATAAATTAGTTTATAAACAAATATTTTTAACGTTATAATTAATTATTCAAGAAAAAAAATTATAAATTAATAAAATTGTGTGGGTTTAATAAAAATACGTGTGACAATAACCACTAAAGTCATAATGCATATCAAAATATCACAATTCACGTTTTAGGTGCAGAATGGACCAAAAAGCGACATAATTTCATATTGACATTAGAGAATTATTCATAAAGTTAATTATGTTCTAACGACATTGTGCATTTTAGGCTTTCCTCCAAATTAATGACGTTATTGACAATCCTAATCCTAAGCATAATTAATGAAGTGTAAAGTAGACGCAAATTAACAATCATCCCAACTTAGTCGGTGAAATCGCGTAAATTTATTTGGCTTATCAACTAGGTAACAATGTTGGACCATTCCCGTCTACCTCAACACTCACATAACAGCTATTTAAACACGGCATGTGCTATTAGCGCTATATACTACATTTACATGGGTCCTCCTCCATTTCATTCTAATTTGTGACACTAGTACTTCATCAGTCCCTAATGGACATCGGAAAGTGGTGCAATTCCGGCGGTGAAATCATCCAGCTTGGTCGGTACTACGACGACAACGACAACAACGATCGACTTGTGAATTCACCGTTCTGTTTTAGATTGAATAAGAAGCTTAGATGGAAAGAGCTGTGGATGAAATTCAAGGAAAAGAAGATCAGGAAGTTTCTAAAGTTTTTTAAGTCTCCGGCGCCAGTGGCTCAGCTCACCTACGATCCCTACACATACTCCCAGAATTTTGATCAGGGTTTATCATGGGACGAACCCGAAAACCTCTCTCGATCATTCTCTGTGAGATTTGCTGATCCTTCCTTAGTCTTCTTAAAGAACAAGGCTGTGTAATTTTTCTAGTTTTATGTATAGACGCAGTACATAGATCTTGTACTTAAATTGATCTGTAAGCTAGATTTGTGGGGGAGAGAAAATACATAGACCCTTAATATGTAAATGGTCAATTGTTCCTCCTGGGAAGAGTTAGAAGTTGTGCAAGAAAAAAAAAAAGGAAATTTCTTGAATTCTTCTTGTGTAAATTGTCAGTTTGTTATTGTTTTAGGTGGGAATTAATGATCCAAATCCAATTATTTCCAGAATAAGCAATAATACTTCTTAGCTGGTTTAATTCTTTTCGAATAAAAGGAATGGAAAACGTAAATTGTTCTCTCTGCTCTCCTTTCATCACCCCTATCATTGAGTCAAGATGCAGATGCTTGAGGAAAAGCATTGTCTGTTCTTGTTACTCGACTACTTTTTTATTTATTTGATGGGTTTACATAGAGTAACTCGATCTTGACTATAATCATGATTTCACTTCTATATTATTAATAGTTTATTTTTAAGTTAAGTAATTAAAAATGAAAATCATGCATATTTTGTAGTCTAAATTACAGAGTATGAATTGTTGCAAGGGCGGATGATAGTTAGGGATGGGGTGCCATGACCCCCTAAGATTTTAAAATATATTTATATATATTATACTTTTCTTAATATTGATTTATCTTTTTAATTAATTTCATTAGATTATGTATATTATTTTTCTTTTATTTACTTCTTTTTTTCTTGCTTTTAATTGGTCATTTGTTAATTTGATTTTGACTTCTAAAGTTTTCAGAGAAAAAGTTTAAATTGGCATCTATTCTACAAAATTTATGTTTACATCTTTTTGAAATTGCGGTATTTGTTTTGCAAGTTTTAACTTCTAATGATCATCCTTGATATAAATCAAATTATCCTTAATTAATGTGAAGAATAACAAACCATATTTTGATTAAGCATTACATTTTTCTATTTTTGACTTCATTACCCATATCTTGTTAATTAGTGCTTAAAAAATTAGTGCATGATTTACACTATATACAGTTTTGATAGGAATATTTAGATTAATTTCTTTTATTATTGGTTAATTTGACATACAATTAACTTGAGTTCTAGCAAATCCATATTTATCATTTATGAATATTTAAGTACATATAGAATAGAGTTAAAAATTGAAATTTTATCATAAACTCTTATGTAATAAAAAAGTCGTTGTGAAATATTTTATAGGTTAATATTATTAAAATTTATGTATATGTTATAAATATTGTAATTTATATTATATTTGCATATGATAGAAAAAAAAAAGACTCACCCCATATTTAATAGTTTAAGTTGTATAATTTCATACAATTTGTGTATTCAACACTTTCTTAGTTAAAAATTATTTAATAATGCATCTCATACTGAATATGAAAATTAACAACGGCTAATTTATGTTAAGAATTTTTACATTAAAGTGGATTATAATAACGGGCTTAGGCAATAATTGATCAAAGCAGCAATTATGATGCAAAGGAAGGCATCAAAATGATGCCATTTTCAGTTGCGTATATTCTTCTAATCCTAGAAGAAGACAAACATATAGTCACAAGTTCTTAAATGACTACAACATCCGTTTTGTAGAAGAAAGGTTTTTTCTTCCGATATTTATATATGGTTTTTCAGAATTAATTCCATAAGCATCCTTTGTTGTTGACTTGGTATGACATCATGGAGGAATCCTTGGATAAAATTGTCATCAGCAATGTCATTCTCATAACTATTCTTATAATTTTATGCGACATTTGTGAGTTTGCATTATGAAAATAAAGATAAAAATTATTACACATGAATTGTAAGGAGTTGGTTATTAGAAATCTCAAATTTATTAAACTTACCATATATTTGAGTTGAGGGGAATGGAGAGGAGGAGAGGGGAGGGGAAGGGAAAAAAATTTTTTATTTGGTTACCAAAAGACTTGGAGGGAAAGGGAGAGAAGAAAAGCCTTTAGTTTTGTCTTTTAAATTTATTTACTTATCCAAATAAGGGAAGGGAAAGAAAATGGAAAGATACATCTTTCCATTCCCTTCTCTTCTATTCTCCTCAAATCAAATATATGTAAAACATCTTAGGGACATCTTAGGTTACTAATGTCATGCAAATATATAAAAAACATCTTAGAAACATTATATTTTAATTAATATTTTTAAAATTAACTATTGGATTTAAATTTCTAATCATGTTACATATTGATTTTTAAACTAATCTAATATATCTAATTAGTTTTTTTATTACACAAAATTTTATATTGTTAAATATCGATTAGTAAATAAAGTTTCGCTAATCAACAGGTTATAAATGTTAAATCAATTTAAAATTTAACATATATAATCTACATGAATAGAATATTTTATCAAACAATCAGTTTTTGAAAATATTAATTATAAGATAAGTTTTAAAGTAAGACATCCAAAAAATATTTGGGAGGTAGAAACCACACTAATATCATATATATATATATATGAGATTAGTACTTATCCGCTTTATTTTTTAAATATTACGAGAAAAATTATTTTAAAATAAAGTCATTTTAATAAAGTACCATGAGAAAAAATTAAAAATAATCTAATTTATGCTTTAAAAATAGTGTATTTAATAATCTTTTTTAATAAGAATTTAATGAAATGATATAATTTTAGAATAATTTTCTTTTTAATCTTTAGAAATTAAGGTAGATAAGTATTATTCTCTATATATATAGATCATGCATGAACATCAATCCAATTTCATGGTGTCTCAATCCAAAAACATCATCTTTCAATGAATATTTTAAAAGATTAATTGTTTGATCAAATGATCTATAGGAAAATGATTGGTATATACTCAGTTTAACACATTTTCTGATACACTTTTGGTTCAACTTTTAAACATATAATATAAATACAATTGATTTAGTTGATTCTTATATTTTGTGTACATGATTGTATTTTTAAACTTATTTACTTTTAATGTTAGACCAACAAAAAGTGATTTTTTAATAAGTGTATTGTATAATGTGTTGAACCAAGTGTATACCAATCACTATTCATGATCTATATTATGTAAATCATACATGTTCATTTTTAAGTTGACTTAATATCTATAATCAGTCTACTAAAAAGCCATATTTTGCAACATATATTTAAGGTTGCTAAATTTTGTATAATTGATTAACTGAATAGATATATTTAATCAATCTAAAAATTGGTATGCAAGATTTATATAAATATAACATTAAATTTAACAATTTGTTTT